CCCAGTTCTAACTACTAGTAGCTCACAGTCTGTCAGGAAGGAATTCTGTAACACTAATGAAGTTGGGAGGGTACAAAATGGTAAGAACGCAGTAACTGATACTTTAAAACAACTGCGCACTGCCAACACATCTTATATGTGCACTTTATTTTCCCTTGGTTGATTCTAATCCATGATCCTTTTCAAAAACTCCGTACCACCAAGAATGCCAGATCAAGCCACTTAACAAGGATTTTCTTTTAAAATCCAGCTACTATACAAAATTTTAAGGCAGCTACCAGCCAAGTTGTTTTCAATCCCACAGAAAATAAAGCCCACTCTTTGATTAAGGCATGAAAAGGAGAAGACAGTTGTGACTTGGCTCTCACACTGCAAACTGCTCACATGGCGATCTGTAGAAACCTAGTCCTAGAATGAACCGGGAACTCTTGGAAAAAAGCAAGAGGTACAGGTGACACTCACAGGAGACTAGAAGCTTGGCTCATGTTATCTTAAAAAATGACCTCTTTGGATAAATATTTATAAAGAGAAAGTGTTATAAGGCTAGCATCTCTGACTGATAAACCATTTTTGTATAGGGAGTAAAAAGTAAATAAATAAACAGAGGCAAATGACTGATCTTGTTTGGTAGGGACTTACTTTATGTGACCATAAATATTTTGCTAAATACATTTTATCTTGGTGTGTGGATTTGGGGTGTGGGATAAGGAGAAGGGACACATAAGTGTCATATTCACATCTAGGTGTGACTCCCATTCACCCACATCTATTTGTTCCTACATCAATCCATTTAACATACACTCATTGCCAGGGAGCTTCACTAAACTCAAGCACTTTTCAGAGAAGTTATTAAAGGGAATGACTTAAACTACTACCAACACTAATGCAGTTAAAGCACTAAGCTGGTGCTACTTTCCTGAACCCCTCAAGATTCTCAATTTTGGGGTGATAACTGACCACTTTGAGACATGGTGAAAGTCTCAGAAAACTGCTTATACAGACAGCATTTTAGATACACTTCGGGAGTTTTGTGGACCAAATTTTACAAAATGGTATTGATTTCAATAAAAATAATCCATAGAGTAATACAGCCAAACGGCATTTCGTGTGCATTCTTTTGTATAACTTACCATATAAATGTATTCACAAAGCAAACACAATTCTTTGTTGGATCTTACAACCTGATTCTCAAATCAGAAAATAAGGTCACCTTATGAAAAGGGTGCAAAGAAACACAGGCTAAGAATGTTCTTCTACTGCCATCTTGTGGAGCTTTTGATGAAAAACTAGTAAAAGGATATCCAGGGTTTTTCCTTCTAATTTTCAAAACCCATATACCCCTCACCTACATTCGCCAACTCTTACCACCTTACTATACCCAGTCCATCTCATAACACACCCACACCCACACTTCTCTATTACAAATCACAGAAAAGTAGGCTATATTCATCATGACATTTCACCACAAAATATTCCAGTATGCAGTTCCCAAGATAAGATCCCTCAATAAACACAGAAAAAAAGCATTAGACAAAATTGAATAGCCTGTCAACAACAACAAATTAGGAATAAAAGGAATCTTAATCTGAGAAAGGGCATCTATGGATGCCCTAACAGCTGATGGCATAGTTAATGGTGAAAGACTGGATGCTTCTCCAAAACATCAGGAACAACAAGGCTGTCCACTCTTACCACTTCTATTCAGCATTGTACTGGAGGTTCTAGAAAGGGCAATTAGGCGAAAAATAAAATAAAATAAAAGGAACCCAGATTACAAAGAAAGAAGTAAAATTATATTTTCTAGCTCTACCTGTATATAAAAGGTGTCATCTTTTATATATAGAACCCTAAGCAACTCACCAAACAATTATCAGGATATAAGATCGATATATGAATAATGTACTCCTGTATGCTAGCAATAAAAAAATAAAAATAAATAAATTAAAAAAACAAAATGAAATTAAGAAAACAATTCCATTTACAACAGCATCATAAAATAAAATCCTCAGGACTAAATCTAAACAAGGAGGTGCAAAACTTGTTCACTGAAAGCTCAAAAGAAAATATCATTGAAAGATATTAAACACCTGAATAAACGAGAAGACATCCTGCTTGCGAATTCAAAGACTATATTTTAGTATGGCAGTACTCTCCCCAAAACGATCTACAGAGTCAATGAAATTGTTCCCCAAATCCCAGCTACTGTTTTTTTCAGAAATTATTAAGCAAATCCTACAACTCATATGGAAATACAAGGGGCCTAGAAAAGCCAAAACAATTTGAAAAAGGACAAAGTTGGAAGACTCACACTTCCTGATTTCAAAACTCACTATGAGCAAGATTAATCAAGACAGTGTGGTACAGCCAGAAGGAAATCGGGGAGCGGAGAGATCATAGCGTAAAGGAAGTCAACTATATGGTGACGGAAGGAAATTAATCTTGGGTGGTAAACACACAATGAAACATACATATAACGTATTATTGAACTGTACACTTGAAACCTATTTGACTTTATTAACCAATGTCACCCCAATAATTTTAATAATATAAAAGACAGTGTAGTACAGGTGAGGATAGAAATAAAGATTAATGGAATAGAATTGAGTCTAGAAATAAAGCTTTACATTTATGGTGAACTGATTTTCAACAAGAGTGATAAGACAGTTACGAATGGTGCTGGGACGACTGCATTCCCAACATGCAAAAGAATGGATTTCAACACCTGCCTCATACCATATATAATAATAAACTCAAAATGAATCATACACATATATAAAGAGTAAAAGTATGAAAATCTTAGAATACTTAGGAGTAAGCCTTCACGACATTAGGTTAGGCAATGGATTCTTAAATATGACACCAAAAGCATAAGCAACTGAATGAAAACTGAGAAATTGAACCTCGTTACAATGAAAAACTTTTGTGGCTCAAAAGACGCTATCAAAATAGTGAAAAGGAAACTCAAAGAATAGGGGAAAATATTTGCAAGCATATACGAGACTAATTCAGAATATGTAAAGAACACTTAGAAGTGAATAATGAAAAGATAAAAAAATTAAAGCTTGGCAAAGGGTTTGAACAATAAACACTCAAGAAAATGCTCAACCTCAACAATCATCAGGGAAATGTAAAGAAATCAAAACCACAATGTAATACCTCTTTATGGATATTGGAATGGCTACAGTCAAAAAGACAGAAAATAACAAATGTCGGCAAGGAATTGGAGAAATTAGAAACTTCATACATTGCTAGTTTCACAGTTCTTCAATTTGTTAAACATACTAGTACCATATGACCTGGAAATTCCAGGTATATACTACGTATATACTCACAAGGTATAAAAACATACGTCCACACAAAAACTTGTACATGAGTGTTCATAGCAGTATTATTCATAATAGCCCCAAACTGGAAGCAACCCAAATGTCCATGAAATTAATGAATGGGTAAACAAAAGGCTTTATCCATACAATGGAATATTATTGAGCTATTAAAAGTACTGATACATGCTACAACCTAGATGAACCTTGAATACATTATGCTAAGTGAAAGAAGCCAGACACAAAAGATCACATATCATATGATTCCATTTATATGAAGTATTCAGAATAGGCAAATTCATAGAGACAGAAAGTATACTAGTGGTTGCCAAATGCTGGGAGAAGTAGGGCAAGTGGGATGACTAGCAGGTATGGAGTTTCTTCTGGGATTGATGAAAATATTCTAGAATGAGAGGGTGGTCATTGAGGCAAAACTTCAAACATACTAAAAACCATTTAATTGTATACTTTAAAAGGGTGAACTTTATGTATTGAATTATATCTCAATAAGACTATTTAGAAGTACTATACTAAAAGATACTCAGAGAAATCTTATCCCCATCCTTGTTCCCTTTACCCAATTTCTACCTACCTCCTATGTGTAACCATTTTTCTTAGTTTCTGGTTTATCATTGTCTTTTTATAAAAATATGTATATATTCCCATTCCCTTTGCTTTCTTACACAAAAGATAGCATACTACATAAACTCTCCTGTACCTTGCATTTTTCACTTAATAATGTAGCCAGAAAATCACTCTATGTCAGCTTGTGGAGACCTTCTGTAGTATTTCTACCATTGCAGAATATTCCATCAACTAGTCCCCTATGCATGGTCACTTAGGTTATTTAGAATATTTTGCTATTACAAATAATGGCGCAATAAACAACCTTGCACGTGTGTTGTTTCCTATTTCTGGAGGGGCGTCTTCAGGCTAAATTACTAGAAGTGAGATTGCTGTTTCAAAGAATAGAAATATTGCTATCTCCCTAGGAGTCATTTTAATTCCACACTGCCACGAGCAATGTTTGAGAGTGACCGTTTTCATAGAGTATTGGCCACAGGATGTGTTGCCAAGCATGCCAAAACTCCTGCATCCTCACTCACAGCTGATGATTTTGCTTCCTACATCACTGAGAAAATTGAATCAGTAAGATCCTTCCACAGGCTTCCACTGCCACAGCCTCTAGGCCCATGCTGTCTGCCTTCTTGCCTATTACCATAGATGAGTTCTTTGTTCCTATCTCATGCCACTTCCACATTAGATCCTTCCATTCTCATCTACTGAAGCACATATTCCAATAATTTTATACCCTCTCTCCTATATCATCGTTTTTTCTACCAGAATCGTTCCCATCAGGATACAAATACAGTTATTTCTCCCAACAGAGCCTTCCTTTAGGGTGGGGACACTTAAACAACATAGAGATGAGAAAGGAGAGGGGGAAAAACATACCTTCTCCACTTAATAAAGAAATGGAGACATTCTCAGTTGATGATTTCGAAGTAAACTCACCTGATAACGATAAGCTACACCAGGCTCTCAAATTTCAGTGCTCAGCAGATTCACCTGAAGGGCTTGTTAAAGCACAGAAGTTTCTGGATCAGTAGGTCAGGTTGGGGCCCTAACATTTGCATTTCTAAGATATCCCCAAGTGATGGTAATGTTGTTCCAGGGACCTCACTTGGAAAGTTGCTGCTCTACACCCTCTTTTTCCATGTGACATGTCACATCTTCATTCAACACGATCTGCATTAATCTTGCATTCGTCAATAAACCTCTGAAATGGGAAAATTATCTTCGTTTTTCCTCAGATTCATAACCTTAAAAAAAAAAAACACAATGATCCTCAGTCTCACTCCCTCTACCTAGAACTACTGCTTGATTTCTTTGTTCCTCTCAGAAACAAAATCTCTCTCAAGAATTGCCTCTATCTGCTGTCTCGAATTCGTCTGTCTTTCTTAAACTCATTTGAGGCAGGCTTTCACTCCTTCCATCCATCACACCACTCTTCAAGGTCTGCAATGACCTACATATTAATAAGCCTTCAAGGCTAAGCTCTCATCTTATTGACCTTTCGGCAGTATTTCATCATGGATCACACCTTTCTCCTTTCCTCCCTGACTTCCAGAACATCATACACTTTGGGTTTCCCTCCTACCACACCTGACACCCCCAGTCTCCTTTGCTAGTTGTCCCTTTTCTCCCTACCTCAATCTTAGCATGTCCCAGGCAATAGGCCTTGGTCCTCTTCTTTAACTATCTTATTCATTCTACCCTGTGGCTTTCAATACCATCTACAGGCTGACAATTCCCAAAGTTTTATATGCAGCTATAAACTCCCAACTCATATATCCAGCAACCTACTCGACATCTCCACTTGAATATCTAATAATCATCTCAGATTCAACATGACAACTTCCTGATTGTCCCCTTGCATCTGCCTCTATCGCGGCCTTCCCCAGGTCAGTAGCGAAAGCAATTCCGCCCCTCCAGTTCTTACACCTCGCATTCAATCTGTCAGGAAGTCCTATTGATACTTCCCTCAAAATAACCCTAGACTCCCTCGACACCACTTCTCACCTGCTTTCACTCTCGTTTGAGCTACCTACATTGCTGAAACAGGCTCATCACTGGTGTCCTCACTTCGCCTCTTGCCATTCATTCTACAGTCTATTGTCAACACAACAGCCTAAGTGCTTCTATTACAACACAAGCCAGGTCCCATCCCACCTCTGCTCAAAACTCCTCACCGGCTCCCATGCCACCCAGAGTGAGAGGCCAAGACCTCCCCGTGGCCCTCAAAGCCCTGTCATCTTCTGGCCCTGTGGTGACAGAAATCTAACTATGGGAGGTGAACATGTAATGCAATATATTTATGCCTTACTGTTAAATTGTACACCTGAAAGTTACTGGATTTCATTAACCAATGTCACCATAAAATAATAATTAATAATAATAATAATAAAAAACATATGAATTCATAAAATACCGTACTGAATAAAATGTGTCTTTATTATACAAAGGAAAAGTCTTTATATTAAGGAGACTCTCCGTCGTCTGTGCTGCTGATATCCAAAAGTGGTCACGTCCTCATTTTCGTAGCCACTGAACTTGACGTTTATCCAGATTCTCTACCAGTGTCTGAGTGGCCAGGGGCTAAGGTGGAAAGATCTCTGGTTTTGACCATTTGGTGGTTTTGACCATTTGGTGATGGAGTTGGGAAGAATGAGCAGTCACCCTGATCAGTTTAAGTTCGAGCTCTGCATCAGAGGTCCTTCTCATCTAGTGTCTTTTCATTTGGAACAGATATGGTGATAGCTTCAGGGAAATCATTGTGATTCTTAAGGTTTGCATGTTAGTGACGGGATTCTGATCTACCCACCTATCTCTTGCAGCCATGATTTACTAGTGCATTAGGCACTAGTGTTGGAGACAGCACTCTGAACAGCCTTTTTTCCTTCCCGCATATGTGAGGGTCTCTTTGGCTTTTAATCTTTAGTGATAACCACTCGCAATTGCTTCAACTTTTCACGTCTGGTCCAGCGTTTATGCTGCATCTCTAATTGTTCAATTGCCATTCTAAACTCACATTGTCTCCCCTGAGTAAACCCTGTGACCTAGCTTCTAATCTCTTAGATGGAGGACCGCTGCAGAAGCTCTTCATTGCTTTCAAAGTACTGCTTCAGACTATGTTTATCTTCTTTATACATTGCAGCTGCTTTGCTAAAATTTCAATCTTATATTCTCAAGTATTTGTTTCCTTATGTAGTTGTTTTACTTATTTCTACCCAAAGAACTGTTTTGGTTGTTCTTTTTCATTTAGTTTTCACTAATTTAGAGCAGCAATACCAGATTATTAGGGATTAGCTTTAAAAGCAACCACTTGTTTACTGAACTCTCGTGATCACTTGTTCTATGATTTGACTTTTTTTCTAAGATTTCAGTTCACTTTGGAATGCCCGTTCATTGCAGCAAAAGTGGAGAACCCCACAAAAATATCTGTTTCTAACGTAATTGTCCAATAGGTATTTTATTTATTGAGCCCCTACTATATATGCTGGACACTGTCCTAGGCACTTGGGATGCATTACCGACCAAAACACACAAAAAGTCTTGCCCCAGGAGAGCTTATATTCAGTAGGGGAGGCAAATAATAAATAATAAGCATAATAAATAAATTATAGAGTATGTTCAAAGGTGATAAATACTATGGAAAAAAACAAAGCATAGTAAGGTGGGGATCAGGAGGGCAGGATGAAATTTCCCTACCTCCCCAACCTTTATATTCAACGTTCCTCGCCTCTCCGACCATAAAAATTTCTTCTCGTCATCCTATACTACCAATCACTGTACCAATATTTCTCTGATTCCCTTCAAGCCAGACTTCTTCAACAAGTTGTCTACACTCTTACTTTCTTACCTTTCAGTCTCTGCAACTCTAGTTTCTGCTCCTGCCTTTTCACTGAACCTGCTATTGCCAAAGATGCCAATGTTACCAAATTCAATGGAAATGAATCAACATTTGATACTGTCGATTACTCCCTCCTGCCATTCTCTTGGACTTCATTACACTGCTCTCTCCTGCTTATCCTCACATTTCCCTGAGTCTCCACTAACAGCTACAACACTTCTGACCATCCTTTAAACGCTTGTGTTCCTGTGCACTCTATTCCACTAACTTTTTTACTTATTCTTCCAGTTTAAACCATTCACTGTGACTTCAATTATCATCTATATATTGATGATTTCTCAACTTTTATATCAAAACAGACCTTTTTTCCTGAGCTCCAGAAACACATATTTAACTGCCTACTTGACATCTCCACCTAGATGGCCCCTAAGCACTTCAAGCCTATCCAAAAATGATTCATCTTCCCCTGCCAAACTTGCCCTCCTTTTCATTATCCCATTTCTTTCCAGTTGGCCCATCACTGTAAACTCGAAATTCATGCTCCCCTTTAAACTCTCTCTTTTATCCCCATACATACATTAATTGCCAAGTCCTAGTGACGCTACATGCTAAACAACTTTTGAATCTACTTACTTCTCTCCATAGTACCACTACCGGAGTCCAGCATACCATATTTTCTCATCCATGTTAATACAGCAGCCTCACAACTGGTTCCCTTGACCAGAAGGTTGCTCACTTCCAATTCTCCACAGAATAGTCAGAGTGACCTCTAAGGATACAGATCTAAGCATATCGTTCCTTCACTTAAAACACTTCATTGGTTCCTCCTGCTCAAAGGATAAAACCCAACTCTGTAATATGGCTTGTATTCTGATCTAACATCTAAGTCGAAATTGCCATCATCCTGAATGACTTGCAGTGCTCCAAATATTTCATACACTTAGGTTTTTGTCCCTGAATCATTATTCCCACCATACAGTGGCTACATGGCAAACACCTACTGATCCTTCTTTTCATTTTATGTCTGTTCCTGAAGTCTGAGCTATGTGTCCCTGCTATGCACTCCCAGAGGACTTGGTGCTCCTCCTATCACAACCCTGTCACTACCTCTTTACTTGGCTTCCTCCCCACCTGGACTGTAGGGCTCTATGAAGGAAAGGCCAAGTCTGCCTTGCTCAGGGGCTCAATCGATGTTTGTTGAATAAATGAGCAACAAATCCAGGTAAACTTAAGCCCCACACATTTCAAAAGGGCAAAGCTAATCATAAAAATAGATATACATTTTTTTAAAAAAAAATCAATTTGTGTATGTCATGGAAAACAGTTGTTGTCTTTTAAAAGTAAACAGAAGATAACAACAGTGTTTGGCTCTGGATAGTGGGTTATGGTTGATTTTTTTTTCTTTCTTCTATATAGACCTTATTTACCAAATTTTCTACAATGAGTGTATCCTACTTTTATGGTGAAAAACTGTTATAAATCATAAAAAAGAAGAACCCTACTATAAAATATTTTTACCTCTTTTCCCCAAAACAAACAGTATCATATACAATGAAATGTGATCACTGGTTCTTACTCACTTTGCTGAAAGGTAAATAACAACAAGAAATCTCTGCCTTATTTAACACCAACAGAAGTATATACTGATAATACAACTCAAATTGCAAAAACCACATCACTCTCTAGGACCTCAAATCCCACTAGTGCTTTTCATGTGTTTTTAAAACTCTACAGAAACTAATTTTTTCCCACTTACAACACCTGGTATTCCTAGGTGATCCCTCATCCAAATACTAACCAGGCCCAACCCTGTTTAGCTTCCGAGATCAGATGAGATTGGGCACGTTCATAGTGGCATAGTCGTATACTAAAACTCTATAGAAACTATTTTTAACAAAAAAGAATTTGGATTCTGGTTTGATGCAGAAAAACAGAACTATTTATTTTATATTTGGAAGTAAACATGACAACAATATGAACTAATTTTTATCCTTCTAATATGCTCCATCAGGTTTAGATGAGTGAGACAGTCTCCTGTGCACTGAATGCTTTGCATTCTTCTTAACGGGGCAGCAATGCTACAGGAAAAAAAATGAAGGAGAGTTAAACAACTTGAAAGGACTAGTATATATATGTATGTATATATATCATACTTTCTTATAAAAGGAAATGACTGCAACAAATTTCTCAAACTCTATATATTGAACCTTATGATTAACTTATCTTTTTCCATTTTACCACTGTATCATCTTATATTACTGTGAGGCACACAGACAAAATACCCTATAGCAAATACCATTACAATGACAATTTCTGAGTAACAAAGTTAACATCTATGCTTGGCCTACAGAAATCAACTTTTGTTAATCTAGTTATGATGTCATATATGTGTCTGCGTGTGTGCATTCACGTGTATGTATGTATTGCATTGCATTAAACTTATAAAAAGTACTATATATGTATGTGTAATAATATACATGTATGATTATTATACATACTTACATTACCTTACATGAATAATATCATAGACATATATATATATAATACCTTGTATAAGGATTTTCTTTTGTTTCTTCTAAGATAAGTCACTTTTCCTACTCATCTAGTCCAAACCTCTCATTTTACAGCTTTATAAACTGTGGCCCAGGAAAGTTAAGGGACTTGCCCAAGCTCCCACTTTAAATAATGGCACAACTGGGGCTAGAGTCAGAGTCTCCTGACACTAAATTCAGTGGTCTGTTATTCCATTCCTCTGCTTCTTTGTAACCGAGGCTAGAAACGGACACCTTAAATTTGAGTAACACATTGCAATTTTCAAAGCATCTGCACATACATTACCTTGTTTAAGGTGCACAGAAACCTCAGCTGATTGTATTAAGGAGCTGAAAGGTTAAGTTACTTGCCTACAGAAATGCCACAAGTTAATGGCCCGGGTCTCCCGACTCCCAGTCCAGTACTCTATTCCCTGAAGTATACCTCTTTTCTCACCAACCATTTATTCTTACTTGGCCCTTCGTAATTATCATAGTAGGAGGAGACACAGGCCAAGGCTAGGAAATATGTAAACCTGTGCAAGTGAGGCCCAGGTAGTCCCTGGTATATGATTCTGGGATCCTTTCTCTTAACCACTTCTAATACTGCATTGTGTAAGTTTGGGGAACAAGTAGCTGAAACTAACAGCTTGTATCAAGGATTCGATCCCAGATTTGTCAGACTCCTGAGGCTATGCTCCTTCCCCATGGAGATATGGTGTAGTCAACGCCCACAGTGAACTGCGGCCATTTTTCAGTAAGAGTGTCTATTGTGGAGCCTCAGAGTCAGAGGGGGCAGATTCCATCTGTTCGTTTTCCCTGAAGGACTGAACTATGTATAACAAATAATGTGGCACCCAAACCACTTGGTACATTTCTTGCCCACCTTCCTAACATCAAAATGTCCCTAGCGGTAACATCATTTCAAAGGCCAATACTCCTATGGTCCAAGCATTTGTGGAGTAAAAAATAAGCATCAATCCAACCAAGATGATAGTAACAAGTATCAAATATTAATTACTTCAACTTTATATCCTATTGTCAATTACCTTTGGTCTCCTCCTTCTTTTTATCACTCAGTTCTTCCTCATCTTCCACTGCTGCCTCTAACAGTGGGGGATCTTTCTTCGGTTTGTTTTTTTGTTTCTTCAACCCCTTTAACATTCGATTAGCTTTTCTTCGTAAAGGATTGGCCCATTTGCTATAATATAGAAGTTCAACGTGAAATCTTATTTCTCCACAGTGACAGAACAATAACAATGGTAGGTTATAAGGAAAAGGCTATCTGCTCACATAACTGTTTACACATTCCAACGTGATTGTTTAACTCATCAATTTAACAAATCCGATAGAAAGTATTATGCTTGGCCCCCACATATTTATCATTATATATAACCATTATTATTACTCTATACAGCATCATTTTGATCATTTGATCCTCCACAACAGGAATGCTATCTTACTTCCCTCTGCTGACATCAATGTCACCCACCCTTCAAGACTCAGCTTATCTATTATTTATCTAAAAAGCCTTCCCTTTCACTCCTATCCTATGGGGATTCCTCCCTCCTATGAACTTCAAAACTAAATAGTAATAGTTCACAATACATTATCATGTACAATTTTATAATTTTGCACTTTCGCCCACTAATGCTACCATTTGGTATTCAATTCTGTACTTCCTTGCATTTGTGTGGACAGTGGGTAAAAGGGAATACTTGAGAGCCTATCACAGGCTAGGAACTTGGCTAGGTGCTTTACATAACTTATCTCATTTACACCTTATAACAATCCTATAAGGTGGATATTATGTTTTCTATTTTGCAATTAAACTGGGGCACAGAGAAGTATAAGATAACTCATCCAAGGTCATATACGGCTAGTGAACAGAGATGTGAGCATTTGAATCCAGGTCTGTCTGACTCTTTCAATTAGACCACACTGTAGCATTAGCGAATAATGATTAGTAATAACAGTATGAAAGACTTCCTACACATCAAGGCCTGTGTATAAACACTTCATGTGCACTATCTTATTTAATTTTCATGACTTAATGAGGCAGGTACCATTTCCATCATTGCCATTTTTCAGATGGAGAAACTGAGGCATCAAGAAGGAAAGCAACTTGCTCATGGTCACCAGACTACTCAGTAGTAGAGCCAGGATTCAAAGCCAGGCCTGTCTAAATTTAAAGCACAATCTCCCACCTACTATGCTAACCTGTCCCTTTTCCCTCACTGGAATCTGGAAATAACTTCAGGCTATGGCCTTACCTTGTAACTGTTTATACCTCGTAGAACCTAGTAACCAATGAGGGCTCAGGACATATTAGTTGATTTTTATTTTTATAGAGCTTTCACTTTCTAAAGACCTAAACCCAAGCCAAGGAGGAAAAACAGGAATACTCAAAGCAAAGGTAAGAATGGAAATTCAAAAAATAAACATTTGTGTGTAATATCATGAAGAGGCAATGACAAATACATATTCTTACCCTCAGCTCAATGCTAGGTGTACAGAATAAGGCGCATGGTCCCTGATGGTGCTACTTAGCTACACAGAACACCCAGGTTCTGAGCATGTGGGGCCCAGAGATAGATAAGCCTGCCTTTAAAATGATGACTTTGAAGGTAATACTCACTTTTCTCCCCTAAAACTGCATTACTGGGCTGTCACCTAGCTACACTAGGTAAGACAGATATGGAGCAAATAAATAGCTTTTTCTCAATTAATCATAAAAAGTCTCCAAGCATAAATGAAATACTGGGAGAAGGCCAAAAATATATTTATATGATTTACCTATGGCCTCTTTATGTTGCAGTACTGTTAACTACAGTCTCAAAAAATAATAACTGAAACAACTACATAGTTCTCAGTCCCCTAGGGCCAGACGTGTTTCAGAATGCAGAATATTTTGGATTTTATAGTGGTAATATGACATGATGTGCTGAATATTACATGATATTCCCATGGGGTCTGGGGCAGCATCTCATGATCAAACACAGTTATATTTCTATAACGAAATATATGAATATTCACTCTAAGCATTACGTAACAACAAGAAAGTATCTCAGGTCAGGTCAGATCAGGTTTTGCTGCCAAATGACTTAGGAAAAGAGCTTCAGGTTTGCAGAATTTTTAGAATTCAAAATTTAGATTTTTAAAATTTAGAATTCAGAATTTCAGAATTTTCAATAAGAAATTGGGGACCTATCTTTTTTCCAAAGATGTAACTTCAATATGTTACTTCATATGATTAAAATAACTATGCTTTCTTTATTCACAGATTTTACTTTAAGTTTAATGGTACACATTTCACCTTAATTAACAAAGAAAAATGTAACAAAGCCTTATTATTTCAAAGCCCACCACACTGGTCTAGGGGCAAAAGACTTGGTTTTAGGTTCAGCTTTCTAATATTCATTACTGAGATCCAAAGTTAGATAGTCTACCCAATATCTAATGAGAATGCCAAAGGCGAAAAGTAGGGGTAACATGATTTGTTCAATGTCCTAGAGGTGATTTTCTTCTTTTCATATAAAATGTCATATATCCTGGCCAGCATACTCACACTTGAAATGTACAGATCAACTTATTCCATATTCACTCACTCACTGACACATTTGCTCATTTATGAAATAAACACTATTATAAGTACTATAGACATAAAGATGAATAGGGTGTGGGACCTGCCTTCGAGGAGCTTAAAATTTAGAAGGGAAGACAGATATGTAGGATGATAACTATATCACATTGAGATAATCCAAGGAGAGGTAAGTAGATTGGTAGGAGACAAATGAGAAGAAGCCTGACATAGTCTGGGCAGGAGGTTTGGGTAAGCTTCCTAGAGGTGACATATAAGCTGAGGTCTGCATCCTGTCTGGGGTGAGCCACATAAAGGAGAGTGGAGATGGGGAGATGTGTAAGAGTATTTCAATCAGTGGGTAAGTACACTGTGTGAAAAGCTCAGAGTGGCGAGTCAGCACACTATTTGTAAACATGAAGTAGAGTAGTGTGGCTGGAAACACTAAGTGGCCCCCCTGGGAATTTCTGGTGAGACCGATCTATACAGTTATGAGAATTCTTTTCTCTAGGAATTCCTAGGAACCTAGATCTAGGAGCAAAGAAGAGATGTGGATTCAGTTTCAAAGAAACAAAGGATCTAGAACAAATGAATTAATTAATGTATCAGAAAAATAAATGCAACAAAAAGCTGGTTCTTTGAAAAAGTTAATAAAATTGACAAGCCCCTGGCTAGACTCACTAAAGAAAATAAAGGACACAACAAAATCAGGGATGAAAAAGGGGAAATTATGACAGACACCACAGAAATACAAAGGATCATACAAAAATACAATGAAAAAGTATGTAACATCAAAATTAATAACCTAGAAGAAATGGACCAGTACTTAGAAAGATACAACCTTCTTACACTGAATCAAGAAGAACTGGAAAATCTAAATAGACTGATCAGCAGTATGGAAATTGAAACAATCATCCAACACCTACAAAAAAGTAAAAGTCCAGGACAATATGGCTTCACCAGTGAACTCCACCAAACATACAAAGAAGATTTAATAGCTATTCTCCTCAAATTCTTCCAAAAAAATCGAAGAGAAGGCAATACTTCCGAACTCATTTTATGAGGCTAATATTACTCTGAAACCAAAACCTGGTAAAGATAACACAAAAAAAGAAAACTACAGACCAATAACTCTCATAAACACAGATGTAAAAATCCTAAATAAGATACTAGCGAACTGAATACAGCGACGTATTAAAAAGATTATACACCATGATCAAGTGGGCTTCATCC